ATGGACAAACTCAACAACAGAGGGCCGATGGCCCGCGCGAAGCGACACAGGCTCCAGCAGCAGCGGTCTCAGTTGCAGGATGGGACCCCGGACCAGGTCTTGACAATTGAGGCGGAGTCGCTTCTTCTCTTGAGAAAGGAGCGGCGGGAGAGAAATGGGGATGATGGACACGATGGGCCGGATCACGACGGCCAGGAAGGAGGACAAGAGGGCGACCAGCGGCATCCACCGACATCGTTGTCCTCACGGAGTTCGCACCAAGTAGAAGCACATACCGAGGTCGAACTGGAGATTGAGGAACTCTCATCCACAGGGGACGGACTGGCCTACGCGCCTGGAACGAAGGACTTGATCTACGTCGTCCCCTTCGCCGTGCCCGGCGACAGAGTCCTGGCCAAGACGTTCCCCCAGAAGGAGGTGAATCCGCTGTGGAGCCGCGTCGACTTCGTCAAGCTACTCCGACCCTCGCCGCGGCGCGAGGGCGTGACACCAGGCTGCCAATACTTCGGGACCTGCTCGGGCTGCCAGCTCCAAATGCTACCTTACCCGGAGCAGCTCGCGCACAAGAAGACGATCGTGGAGAAGGCGTTCAAGCACTTTTCGAACCTGGACCCGTCGCGGATCCCGCCCGTCGACGACACCATGGGCTCGCCGCTCCAGTACGGCTACCGCACGAAATTGACCCCCCACTACAGCGGCGGCTCGAAGTCCAAGCCGTTCCGGCAGGGCGACGACCCGCCCCCCTTGGGGTTTATGAGGAAGAATAGCCCCAGGATCCTCGACATCGAACAGTGTCCGATCGGCACGCCGATCCTGAACGAAGGCCTCAAGATCGAGAGGAGAAAGATGCACGAGTCGTTCTGGAAGAGCAAGACCGGCGCGACGGTTCTGTTGAGGGAGTCGACGCGGCGCGAGATGGTTTCCCCCACCACGGATTCCAGCAATGAAAAGCCACTACTGGCAGCAGAGAGCTCATCGACGCGCGATGTTGGCGGCGACGGCGCCGGCGAGGAAGGCGAGAATATCAAAGCTCCCTCGCCCGGATCGATTCATGACCTATCGTCCTTACCGCTCGCCTACTCTGGCGACCCTGTCTCCACCGAGCTTTCGTTCCCGTCTCCCACCACCCCCCAAATCACCTACACGTACCCTCTCTTCCGAGACATCAAGACCTACACGTCCGACCACAAGGCCGTGACGACCGAGCACATTGGGCCCTACACGTTCACGACGCGGGCGAACAGTTTTTTCCAGAACAACAATTCCATCCTACCCATTTTCTTGTCCTATATCCGTGAGAACCTTCTTCCCAAGACGCCAGCGGCGGGTTCAGGCCCAGCCGCAGAATCAGCGACTGCACCCACAGCATCATCATCGGTATCATGGGTCCCGGGCAACAACCACCACCAGCCAGAAGCGCAGCCCGCCAAGATCAAGTACCTGCTCGACGCGTACTGCGGCTCGGGCTTGTTCAGCATCGCGCTCGCGCCGTATTTCTCGTCCGTGTTGGGCATCGACATTGATGCGCTGTCCATCTCGTGCGCACGGGACAATGCGAACCTCAACCACCGCGCCAACAGCCGCCCGAAACAGGGTGGAACAACCACTGCAAGCGACGCCACCGAGGTGAGCAGCAACACGGGCTTCATCGCTGCGGACGCGCAAGCGCTATTCACCGACGTGCCCTTCCCGCCCTCGCAGACCCTGCTGGTCATCGACCCGCCGCGCAAGGGCGCCTCGCCGGACTTCCTGCAGCAGCTGTGCACCTTCGGCCCCCGCCGCGTCGTCTACGTCAGCTGCAACGTGCACACGCAGGCCCGCGACGTGGGCATGCTGGTCGCCGGATTCGGCGGTGGGCGCTGGCGCTACGACATCGAGAAGCTGGGCGGGTTCGACTTTTTCCCCCAGACGGGACATGTCGAGGGCGTGTGTTTTTTGAATAGAGCGGAGAGGCAAAGTTGAGAAGATATCTGTGTTTTCTCTTTCGATATGAGGATAGTGATAGGGATAGTAGAGGGGGCTGCTTTGCGTGTCGTTGGGTGCTTTAATAGGAAGGATTTGGATACGATCGCTGAGGCATGCGAAGGATGGAGGTGGATGGCAGAGCAAAATCCGCTGTTTCTGGCCTGTTCATCAACTTTTCCTCTCCTTCTCCTGCTCTGAAAGGCGACTGGACTGGACTGTATAATTAGACACAACCTTGTTGGGTTCTTCCTCTCCCTGCAAAAGTCCGATATCGAATACATTGGTGGACTGGGTACATCTGACCCATTTCTTGATGTCCTCGTCTGCTGGTCGAGGCAGATTGTTTTCCCACTTCTTTTCAGAAAATCTGCCCAAATGTTTGGCGCCTCCATTTCACGGAAGAGAATCAGGTGGTCGATAGAAATCCACTTGGCCCCTTAAAGTCCCGGTCCTTGGCCATATCCTTCGCCTTCGACTTCCCCTCCTCCGAGCCCTCCTCTTCCGCCTCTGGATGACAAAACACCTCTCTACCCTCGACCCACGCCTTCCACGCAGGCCCTTCCAGATTCTCAAACCACAAATAAGAAGTCATGGCGGCCTTGAAGTCGGCAAACTCTGCGAGGCCAAGCTGCGCAGATCGCTCATGGAGCTGGGCGACGAACCAGCGCCGGTCGGACGTGAAGGTCGCGCCAATGCAGCCGAGCAGCAGCGTCCAAAGGACCAGAGGCCGGTACTCCTCGCGGCCGCCCGCGGGGATGAACTTGAGGAACTTCTCGGTCAGGGCACCGCGCAGCATGCCAGCCAGACGCGGCTTGACCTCGGAGCTGTCGATCTGCGGGTACACGACCATGTCGTCGTAGAGCAGCGCACCCAATCGCGCGACGGCGAAGATAAGCCGCTCCTCCTCGCTCCCAGCCTCGGACAGTGGGATCTCCGGCGGCAAGGCCAGGATTTGGTGGTGGTTTGCCCGCGCGATGGCCAGAAGTCGCCGCCACGCCCGCGTAGTTTCGTACCCAGGCTCCAGGCGTGTGAGATCCCCGGTAACGGAGGCGGTGCACAGTAAATGCTCGCGGAGCTTGCCGATTTGGTCTCTTGCAGGAAGCACCAGAAACCCGGTTCCCAATCTTCCAAACGTACCATTGCGAAGGGATCTTTTCACGTTCTCGGTATACTCAGTTAGAAGTTGCTCGTAGCTTTTCAGCAGTGGGAAACTGGGGTGCTGTATAAGAGTTGTGCAGTTGTTCAGGCTCCATCTGTTATCACGTTCGTGGAATTGTTAGGGAACGAGAGCAAAAAGACGGGGTGGCGGGAAATCGCTTTTTCTTTTCTTGGAGGGTCTGGGACACCACGTACAGCCATATCATTTCCGCAATACCAACAAGTTCAATTTCTTCTAAGCCGCCTTTGGCCTGGATGAGGAGGTTCATGGCACGAATGTGTTCAGCATGGGGCACTTTCCTGCCATAGCGGACCAGGAACCGTGCGTTGAGCGTCGGTGGTGGAGGGTGGCTTTCGGGAAACACTCGCTTGTCCCAGTCCAGTCCCTGATATGACAAGTTATACACTGCCATCACGAGAGAATCGGTCGGAATAGCGTCCGGGTCCATGTTTTGTATGATTTGCCTCACCAATCGGAGCGCCTGAGTGTGGTGGAAGAGTCTCAGTCGATCGAACATGGCACTGCAACCGTGTGCATGGTACATGGCTTTGCCAAAATCCGCTACACTGGCGAGGTGGACGTGATGAACGGCAGGACACTCTTGAGCCGCCAGGCGCCATTGTCGCCTACCGGGGTGTACGGCTGGCTTTCCTTGAACCTCGATGAGGTCAGGCCATAGCTTGTCGTAGGCTTAGAACGGGAGTTTCAGTCAGCCGGGGCTAAATGGATCACTTTTTTTGGTTTTTTCCTTTCTTGAGGGTAGATTATGCTGCGTACTATACTCAATGAGGTCTTGAAAGACTGCCGGATGCTCTGAGGCATTATAAGGAGAAAACGGATCCCTTTTGCTCTGAGATAGGGCGTTATGGACGAGGGCTTTCGAGCTTTCTGATGGCTGATCATCGGCGCCGCCGTCGGTTGCTTGTCTGTCCTGTTCCTGTCGTTGAGATGATTCGCTCTCCATCTCTCGGCGCCAACTGCAATTTTTGGGTCAGTCGGGAAATCTCTGAGAGGCCGTGCTACCTGTCTACCTGATCTGCCTTTCCCAGCGAGCACGTCGGCCAACATATCTGGCGGCATGCCTTCGGGCCTGTGCAATCTTGATGTTCTTGTCTTGCCCGCTTTGATAGGAACCAGGGTCGTGGATCATGAATTGGATCGTTATTGGAGCGGACGGGGTATTTGCGGACGCCATGGCGTTGTGTGTAACAGTGATCGGGAGCAGATCCGAGAGAGCGAGACCACCTGAAGATTAAGATGCCGGATGGACAATAGCATTATCTGTCTATCAAGTATTTCCATTTAATTTTTCGGCACAAAGGTCGCTTGACTCGTGTCACCTTGTTCACTCGTGCGCGAAATCTGACAGAGACACGAAGCCGAGTCGGTCTCGGTGTAATGCGTTCAACGGGAAGAGGTCAAGCGTGGTTTCGGCCGGATGGTGCCTCGCCAAAGAAACACTAGAATGGACAAGTAAGGACCTTTAGCCTCAGCCCGTATAGAAGAAGCAAAAACATTCGACCAGGTGCTGGTGAAGCGAGGTGTCCCGAGCAGTCATTCCACTAGAGAGGATGATGGTGCACGAGGTGGGCACAATGCGAGCTGACGCTGCGACCTTCGATTGGAAGTGATTATATAATCGTGTAACTGCGCCCACCACACCCATCCTGCGCCTTTTTAATAGCAAAAGGTGAAATGCCCTGCAATGGGACGGACAGCTTGCTCTGATGCCGGATCTGTCCAGAGTCATGACTACACTGCACTTCAAGCGGACGAAAAGGAGTAAGAGGACACCCAAGCATGTCGTCAATGATATCTGGAGTCTTGGATCTTTTTTTCTCGATTCCTGCCTTTCTATCTCGTCAGATCACCAGCTCTAGGTGCTACCAGGGCCTCCCAGCAAAGCAAACCTCCTGACAATGCTGGGCCCTATCTCGTCATACTCGGCCTTGGTGTGGCAGTAACTTCTGAATTCAGGTGTTTGGCCAAGTAGACTGCCACCAAACCATGGTCCATGTCGCTGTCGTTTGTGGGTGACAACTTGGACCTCCAAACCACCACTCTTAGCTCCGCCACTCCGAGCCTCCGACGCTCTGATACGAGCATCGACCAAGTGTCTAATATCTCGCTGTAACCTCCGACCAAAATCCTTGTACAGAGTCGAACCGCCAGACAGCACAATGTTTTTGTAGAGCCCTCTTCGAACGTCTATCGGGGATGACTGGATAACCCCATCGACCACGGTGGGAAGGGGAGTGAGGAAGTCCGAAGAATAGATTTCAGGATTGAAAAAGATCTCGGGGGCGAGGAATCGCTCGTAGCCGACATCGATCGTGATAGACCTGCCATTGGGTTGGGTCACGGTGTGCTTGAGAAACCTATCGGGTTCTTTGTCATAGCGGGCGAACTCCTTGACAATGTCGGGGCAGACATAACAGTACTCCTCCTTGACCTTCTCGGCTGTCTTGAGACTGCTGTCCGGCTCTCCCCGGTCCCGCAATAGACTCTGCACAAAATATGTGATATCCCGCCCAGCAATTGGTATGCTTTTGATCGACGAGCCAATAACGTATCCTTCAGCAACAGGAATAATATGGGTGACACCGTCTCCGGAATCGATGACAGTGCCCGTCAAAGATCGGTCGGTCACTTTCGAAGATGTCCACGAGGCGGCTAACGCGAGAACGGCTTGTACAGCAATGTATAGACCCGCGCAGTTGAAGGACTCGAACATGATCTCTGCCGTGTTCTCGCGGTTTTCGGGAGGGTTCAGAGGCTAGAAAATGGTCAACAACTACACAGATGGATGGTTTCAGCAAGACCCACAGGTTCTGTCAGGAGGAAATAGTGATCCTCGGGCTCAACTCGCAGGTATTTGAAGATGGAGTTTGACCAGAACCGTTCCATGTAGTCCCAATTCTCGATTTGACCGTGTCTGATGGGATAGTTGATACTGTAGCCAGGACCAGCCGACGCCGCAAGTGCTTCATCTCCAATGAAGAAGTCGAGGTCTTCTGTGCCCCGCTTGCCCGCCAGATTGGAACTTGGTCCTGCACCGCCGGTGAGGAATGAGGGTTTATTTGCAACCGCCGGTCTTCCTGATCCCGTTCCTCCTGCAGCGCCGCTAGCACCACTTTTCATAGCAATGGCCGTGGGGAATACAAAGGAAGGGGCATCATTTCCGGCGAAGCCTAAGTTGAGGTAGGTCAGAAGGATAACGATTATGCATTGGTCGATGGGCATACCTAATTTCGAGAAGCCGGTACCGCTAATTGACCGTCAGCATCAGATACATGTGCTCGGAAAGGAGACCATACTTGTCCATGACAACAGCGGGAGTTTGAGAAGCCATTTTGGTCGGTTACACACGGACCACCTCGAGAAGCAGCAACAATACGACGATGCGACGAGAAGGATGAGGATGTCGCTAGGATGAATCGGTTCTGGTCGGAGGGATCATCGCCAACAAGGAGAAGAGGAGAATAGCAGAAGGGAGGTGTAGTGACCCAGGTACCGTGTTTCCAACCCACAAACGTGTGCAGGCAGCTTCCAATTGTGGGTGGAAGACGAGTCAATTGAGGGACAGCAGTGAGACGAAACGTTGGTAGTAGTAGTGGCAGTTGGTGGGCTGCCGCTCGCTGGGCACCGACAGGCAAAGCACCATTGCTCGTAAAGTGGGCTGCGGATTATGTCATCCACGTGACTGTACAACTGTGGGTGACTGGTACTTTACAGTGTGTCACGTGGCTGTTCGATCTCACTATGAAATCAAGAATTCTTTAGTTTCTACCTCGTATAGACCCGATAGTTTGTTCTTCAGGTCACATAGTCACTCATCGTCGGTTGTAGAGCATAGCATTAACATTATGGCTCGTAGATAACTGGGATTGGAAATGCTTTGTGTGTTGGTATGGTGTTGGTGGCGCCAGTGTCCAGGTCGGCTCAGTTTCCTATACTGACAAATCCCCCTTTAGTTCCCTCCTCACAGCATCGTGCTTTCCATTCTTGTCCATCTATCTCGTTACCGAGCACATGCCCAACAAAACCGAAACAGAAACACCGTTTTATATAAAGGAATCATGGGGGACAGTCGTCGCGCCCTCATCTGAGGTCGCAGCTTCCAAACATGCCAAGCAGGCTGTCGATTTCAGCTACCAGAAGAGGACGACGATGACCTCCGGTTGATTTCTTTTTGACCTCTCCTTCACTCGTTCACCATCTCTTCATTCCTTCATTTTATTCAAACAAGCATCCTCAAGCTCAAATTTTTCCTTTCTCCTCCAAGTCTGCATGCTGCCGCAGCTGTCTCCATAAGTAGGATTTCAATCCCTTTCGTTCTTCTCACTTGGTTCATTGTCTCTTTGCCTGACAATCCGTGCCTTGTTCACAGTGTACAGCTTGAACTCATTCTCACAGCAGCACTGCCTCCCACGGTCCTCTTAACCGGGGTCGGAGCCTTCATCACTCTCAAACACGTCCCGCCTGCTGACCAAAGTTTATTCCTGTCTTTTCATCCGACATCAACCAATGCCGCGTCGACAACAAGACCCCGGCGACCTGTGTGCCATTTTCATCCACGCTGGTGCAGGGTTCCACAGTCTACAAAATGAGAGAAGTCATCTCACTGCGGTCAATGATGCAGCCAAGGTTGGAATGGCCGTCCTCAGGAACGGAGGTGATGCTACTGATGCTGTGGAGATGGCTATAAGGCTGCTGGAGGACAGAGAAATCACAAATGCCGGCTATGGAAGCAACTTGACCATAGCTGGGCAGGTCGAATGTGATGCCACCGTGGTCGATCACTATGGCCGCAGTGGCGCGGTTGGGGCAATCTCCCAGGTCAAAAACCCAATTGCAGTTGCTCACCTTGTTCTTGCCGAATCCACAAAACAAATGTCCCTCCAGCGTGTTCCCCCAATCCTACTGGTAGGCGCTGGTGCGACCGACTTCGCAGCAGATAATGGTATCGCAATTCTTCCTCATGACTACCTAGTCTCGAAAAGTGCGCGTGAGAGGTGGATCAAATGGATCAATGATCTTGCAGACGTCTCTCAGACGGAGGCGGCGAGAGAAGATCAGAACCAGCTGTACCAGTCGACAGAACCAGCAGATGAATGGGGTCGTACTCCGACGCCGGCTGCTACTCCCCCCAGCCCCACGGTATCACCTCCTACCCATGGGAGACAACTCAGCCTCTCACAGATGCCTTCTATGAGACGCCCATTGATGGCCTCGACTGCAGATGTAGCCACCTTATCACACCCTGGGGGAACCGAGAACCCAGGACATGGCCCTTTGGTCTCTCCTTCTCAGCCTGCAGCTCAGCAAAACAGGGCGGACGGAAACGCATCTCATGATTTCTCGGAGGCAGGTTCTGATGACAGTCTTCAGTGGTTAACGTCTTCTTCCAAGCGTCAGAAGCTAGGCGGTTCTTTCGATGGGCCGTCCAGCGAGGCAACCAATCTTACCGCCCAAGATCAATCGAAAGCATCGTTGCGCACACCAAGATCTGCTTACCGTGACAACGACCGGGAAGATGACATAAGTGACACAGTCGGCGCCATTGCAATTGACTGCTTTGGGCGGATTGCTGCAGGCGCATCTTCGGGAGGAATTGGCATGAAACACAAGGGCCGGTGTGGTCCGGCCGCTCTTGTTGGCGTCGGCTCTGCTGTGATCCCTATTGATCCACAGGATCCCACTCAAACTTGTGTAGCCACAGTCACCAGTGGGACAGGTGAACATATGGCTACAACGAGTGCCGCCGCCACGGCTGCCGATCGGATCTACAGTTCGGTGCGCAAAGTACAAGGACAGCTCGAATCGTGCAACGAAGATGAAGCGATGAGTTCTGTCATCAAGAACGACTTCATGGGTCATCCTGGTGTCATCAACAGCCATTGTCCTGGCGCCATTGGAATTCTAGCAGTCAAGAAAAGCCGTGACGGGATTTACTTTTATTTCGGCCACAACACCGATTCGTTTGCCATTGCCTCGATGCATTCTGAAGAGACAAAGGCAGTATGCACCATGTCAAGAAGCCAAGGCCACGGGTCCATTGCCCAGGGAGGCCGAGTTTCTCGAGCAAAACACAGTCATTCGCGTTGACCCTCTGGTCGAGGTGACTACAGGTCTTCTGGCACGTGGAAAAGAACGCCCAATGTTCACAGGCCTCTGCCTCGCCGAATTTTCGTCATCCTGCGCCGGTGCTGGAGGGAGTTCAGATATGCTGCAGGGAAGAGACAGTGAACCGTCGTAGAGCTGGAGAACCACAGGTGGAAGATTGAGAAGGGCGTGTAAAAGGAGGCGAGCATATTCATAGCCTTTTCACTGCGCGAACCCTAAAACATCAAGCTGTCCTAAGGTCTTCATATTGATAGGCAAACAATCCCAAAAACCCTAGTCTAGACAAACATTGCATCTATGTGTGCCTGGGCCGATTTTCCCTCGTATTCACCCATGGTCTGATAACTTTTGTGCCCGTCTGTTGCGGACCGAATCGCCTTGAAATTTGCCTATTATTAAGAATACACTGCTGATCATTTTCCGTTCCAGCCGGTGCGCACCATGCGGCCGGCCACCTATTGCGGCCGCTTTTTCTTCTTGGGTTTGGAGGTCACGACCACGGAGGGGGTCTTCCCATAGCCGCGGTCGTCTACGGCGAGATGGGTGCCACAGGTCAGGCAGTCACCGTTCTCTGGCGGCTCACAAAAGATGCTCAGACAGATGGAGCAGACGAAGCCGACGGAGACGACGTTGCGGTGGCAGAAGCAGGCGGCGCGGAAGTCGACGTCGATGCGGGTGGGCAGGATCAAGTGTGCCGAGCGGGTCATGGGGCTGGACAAGAAGCTGGTCAGGAGATAAGTCAGGAGGGCCTGGGATGCCGTCTTGACCGGGTTGGGATCGTTGGGTGAGGGCAGGTGGGCGGGGATGAAGATGCCGTGGGTCGCGTCGGCGGCTTGTTGGAGGAAGACGGTCGAGTTTGAGTGTGATGAGGAGCGAGTATTTGAGGTGGGATTTGAAGATGTTGTGGTAGTGGTGGTGGACGTGGAGGAAGAGGTGGGGAGAGGAAGTTGCAATATATCAATGGGGATAGACAGTCTCTGACACGCGAATATGGCGTTCATAATCGGAATATATTGGTGGGCCAGATCGGTTGAAGGCGATGCTGAGATGAGGAGAATACGTGATTGAAGTGACTGAGTTGCTCCTTCGCCAGCCGCCGAGGTGGTGTCGGGTCTCATACCACCACTAGCAGTGTTTGACGATCCCACCAGAGACTCCGTGAGCAGGATTGACTCTCGGTTGATATAGGAGAGCGCCAAAGTGAGGGCGCCAGCAATCATGGTGGATGAGTTGCTAGCGACAGCATCTGGAGGCGTGCCGGACAGCAGCGTGGTCAGGTTACGCAGGAGCTCTTCCTCAACAAGACGGAAGGGCCGATATTTGCTGCCCGTGTTTGCTGAGGACGAGAGAGGTCTGGGAGTCGAGCCAGGAGGGTGGTGATCCCCTCCTGGCCCGTTGAGTTTCAGTTTTTTGGTGGGATCGGAGAGGTTGTCATCTCCAGACGAGTCATGAGGCTGTCGCTTTGCTCGAGCCGAGATGGATCGAGGCAGCCTCTGTTCGGTGGGAGCTGGATAGAGCCATGTGGCTTTGTCGCAATGAGAAGCGATGACGGCGACTTTGTTGGTGTAGTTTGCTGCCAGATGGGCATTGATAAAGACGAGAAGATTGGCGACAGCACTCGAAAGAGGGAGGGTCGAGGAGAGTAATGACCATGCTGCTGGGTTGGTGTCGAGGATGACTGTGAGGAGTGAGGGTGATTGTTCGGCCGCTGTTCGTGTTGTTCAGGGGGATGTCAGTCTCATGGCAGCCTTGTGAGGATTTGGGAAGAGGTGATTGGATGGATAGCGAGCGGGCAACCTTGTGCTTGGGCGGGCGCGGGTACAAGAAACTTACAGTGGGATGGTTTGTCAAAGTGCTCGGATGCGTCGACCGCATTCATGATGGGGTGGTTTTGGTAGTGGTGGTGATGACGACGACGATAACAGGGACCAAGATATTAGAAATTCAGGAGAGGAGATGATTTGTGGAATGTGAGAGGTGAGGAGTGAGATGGCTTGAGCGAGTGAAAGAGTGGGTTGAGATGGAAGAATGGATGAGTTGATGCGATGATGTGCCACAGTGGATCGATGGTTGGTGGTTGAGCATCACGAGCATCTGTCCCATCGCAGTCTCAGCGTCAGGTGGGAGCACAAGCAAAAGGCACTGGACGCCTAGACCCTTTGGGTAAGAGTGAGGGCGGACAAGAACCCGCCTTGGAAACCCTTGGGGCCCGAGAGCACAAAAGAG